CATAGGCGGTAGGAGGTAGGACATAGGTGGTAGGACATAGGAGGTAGGACATAGGAGGTAGGACATAGGAGGTAGGACATAGGTGGTAGGTGGTAGGACATAGGAGGCAGGAGGTAGGACATAGGATGTAGGAGGTAGGACATAGGTGGTAGATGGTAGGACATAGGTGGTAGGAGGTAGGACATAGGTGGTAGGAGGTAGGACATAGGTGGTAGGAGGTAGGACATAGGTGGTAGGAGGTAGGACATAGGAGGTAGGAGTTAGGACATAGGATGTAAGTGGTAGGACATAGGAGGTAGGATATAGGTGGTAGGACATAGGAGGTAGGAGGTAGGACATAGGAGGTAGGACATAGGTGGTAGGAGTCAGGACATAGGAGGTAGGACATAGGAGGTAGGAGTTAGGACATAGGAGGTAGGACATAGGTGGTAGGAGGTAGGAGGTAGGAGGTAGGGTTGACCTTGTGGCTGAAGAGTCCTTTGAGCAGACGCGTCTCCTGAACTTCTCCCTCCACGTTGGATCTCCAGAGTCTGAGTCCAGGACGAGCAGCAAACACCTGAAGGTCACTTTGTTTACACAGAGACGGAAGGAAACAGGCGCCGAAACGACCGCTGCTAAACGACAAGAAGAAGAGAAGAAGACAGAGGGTTAGAGAGAGGGGGAGGAGTCAGGAGAAGAGGGGGAGGAGTCAGGAGGAGAGGGGGAGGAGTCAGGAGGAGAGGAGGAGTCAAAAGAGAGGGGGAGGAGTCAGGAGGAGAGGAGGAGTCAGGAGAGAGGGGGAGGAGTCAGGAGGAGAGGGGGAGGAGTCAGAAGGAGAGGGGGAGGAGTCAGAAGGAGAGGGGGAGGAGTCAGAAGGAGAGGGGGAGGAGTCAGGGGGAGGATGTGCTGTGGGCATCACCTCTTCCGGGGCTGGGTGCCGATGGTCTTGGTGGCGGGGTTCTGGCTGGTTTGGACCTGGTTCTGGCTGTGGTTCTGGTCTGGACTCTGGAGGGTCCGGGGGTCCTGGTTCTGGTGGTGGAGGAGGGTCCGGTGGAGAGTGGACACGAGCAGAACCTGGGAACGGTACTGGATCTGGACCACGGCCGAAGACTCCTCCAGAACCAGCACTGGCCGGCACTCCCCCTGTGAAAAAGACCGGATGGTTCTGGTGCCCTACAGACTGGGTCTGGTCCTGGTCTGGTCCTGGTCTGGTACTGGTCCGGATCTGGTCTCGTACCTGGTCCAGGTCGATGGCGGTGAACACGACTCGTCCTTTGTCGTCTCCAGAGAAAAGCTTCATGCCGTTGGTGCTCCAGGCCAGAGCGGTGACCGGGCCCCGGTGCTGATCCGAAACATCGAACCGCCGCAGCTACGAGAGAGAGACCAGAACCAGAACCATCAGAACCACAGAGAAACAGAACCATCTGATAGAAGCGCCGAAGCTGTGAGAGGAGACACCTGAAGGAGGAGGAGGTCTGCAGAGGGTTAGACTGTCCTCACTGCAGAACTGTCTGAGGTTCTACAGCTCCCGTGGAGAACTGTCTGAGGTTCTACAGCTCCCGTGGAGAACTGTCTGAGGTTCTACAGCTCCCGTGGAGAACTGTCTGAGGTTCTACAGCTCCCGTGGAGAACTGTCTGAGGTTCTACAGCTCCCGTGGAGAACTGTCTGAGGTTCTACAGCTCCCGTGGAGAACTGTCTGAGAAAAGGGTAGGTGATGTGACTCACCTGTTTGTTGCGTCCAGGTAAAGGTGAGACGAGCTGGAACACGGCGACCCGCCCTGACGCTGTTCCTACGGCCACAAGGTCATCAAAACACGAGAGCAACTTCACCGCCGTCAGAGAGTCCGACTTCCCCTGAGGCCAGAAGGATTTAACAGAAATAAATACAGAAAACTACACACACACACACACACACACACACACACACACACACACACACACACACACACACACACACACACACACACACACACACACACACACACACATACACACACACACACACACACATACACACACACACATACACACAACTACACATACACACACATATACACACACACACACACACACACATATACACACACATACACACACAACTACACATACACACACATATACACACACATAAATATAACTTCATAATCACCCACAGGATGTAAACACGGACATAAAGATGACGTAAACATGGATGTAAACATGTCGTACCTCGATGCTGTATTTGGTCATGTGACCCTGGCGTCTGCAGTACAGGTACAACATGCCGATGCTGCTGCCCACGGCAACGAAGTCTGGACTACAGTCCACCGCCGTGAGGTAGACCACAACCGACCGGAACCCACGCTGGACCTGGGACAGTGACCCGGGTTAGAACCACTATCTCTAAATGATAAGGATTACTGTGGTTCAGTCCTGGTTCAGTCCTGGTTCAGTTCCAGTTTAGTCCCGGTTCAGTCCCGGTTCAGTCCAGTTTAGTCCCGGTTCAGTCCCGGTTCAGTCCCAGTTTAGTCTTAGTTTAGACCTGGTTCAGTCCCGGTTCAGTCCCAGTTCAGTCCTGGTTCAGTCCTGGTTCAGTCCCGGTTCAGACCTTGGCAGGGATGGTGTTGAGGAGGTAGTACAGGGGACAGAACTCCCTCAGAACCGAGTCCTGGGTCGACGCCATGATGAGTCACCTGAAAAACAAGAAGACACCAGTATATCCTCCTCCTCTAACCCTCTCCTCCTCCTCTCCTCCTCCTCTAACCCTCTGCTCCTCCTCTAACTCCTCTCCTCTGCTCCTCCTCTAACCCTCTCCTCCTCCTCTAACCCTCTCCTCCTCCTCTAACCCTCTGCTCCTCCTCTCCTCCTCCTCTAACCCTCTGCTCCTCCTCTCCTCCTCCTCTAACCCTCTGCTCCTCCTCTCTCCTCCTCCTCTAACCCTCTGCTCCTCCTCTGCTCCTCTGACCGTCTCTTCTCTTTTAAGATCAGTTTCCTTTTACCTGTCACAGATAATACAGTATTTCTGACACACTGAGCCAAATAGCAGAGGGTGAACCTGTTCTCTTCTGTTCTCTTCTGTTCTTTCTTTCACTTTTCATTCACGTGATCACTGTTATGAAGTTGTCACCTGATGTAAACGAGGTCAGAAATCACAAAAGCCTGAATCAGAGCTGGTTTCGGAAATGGAAGATGAACTACAGAGTCACCCCTGACCCCGGGCCCCTGACCCCGAGCATCACCCCTGGGCCCCTCACCCCGGGCATCACCCCCGGGCCCCTGCCCCGCCGTTAGACCGGAGACTGCGGCTCTGAGCCGTCACAATAACGAAAGAACAATAATGAAAACATGGAGGATATGTCGCTCACTCCCGCGGATTAAACGAGTATTTCAGTAGAAAACGTGACTATAAATGTGTTTAAACATGGCCGAATGACACCGCAGATCCCCCGGCTTCATGTGAGCGGGTTCAGAGGCGTGAGTCCGGCCTCCGGGGCTCAAAACACGGGCTAAAAACGTTAAATAACACGGGAGTGACGCGGGGTTCGTTTGTGGGCGGATATTGTTCTGTCAGTTGCTAAAATCTGACCCAGTGTTCCATGTTCCGTCTTTAAAAGGTCCAGACGTGAGAACTGCGAGTTAAAACATCAGAACCGGATCCGAACCAGATCCGAACCGTGTGTTTTTACGGTGTTTAAGGTTAAAAATGTGACTAAAGTGACAGAAGTGTGTGTGGAGCTAATGTAGCAGGAGGCTAGCTCCGCTCTCACCGCGGCGCACACTTCGGGCTTACGCGGTTCTGGAGGCTCCGGGAGGCTCCGGGAGGCGCCGGTCCCGGTCCTGGGAGGTGCGGGAGGTTCCGGGTGGGTTCAGCGGGGTCCCGGGATGCTACAGGCCGTGCTGGAGGCTCTGGGGTCCGGGCAGAAGCGTCCACAGCACCGAGACATCACGCAGAACAAATCCACCTGACATCGCCCCAAAGCGGAGGAGCTGATGTCAACAAACCGCGTCAGCCCCGGGAGGAGACCGGGACCAGGACCGGGACCAGGACCGGGACCAGGACCAGGACCTGGACCAGGACCGGGACCGGGACCAGGACCGGGACCAGGACCAGAACTAAACCAGGACTAAACCAGAACTAAACTAGGACTAAACCAGGACTAAACCAGGACTAAACTAGGACTAAACCAGGACTAAACCAGGACTAAACCAGGACTAAACCAGGACTAAACCAGGACTAAACCAGAACTAAACAGGACTAAACCAGAACTAAACTAGGACTAAACCAGGACTAAACCAGGACTAAACCAGAACTAAACCAGGACTAAACCAGAACTAAACCAGGACTAAACCAGAACTAAACCAGGACCAGGACCAGGACTTGGACCAGACCAGAACTAAACCAGGACTAAACCAGAACTAAACCAGGACTAAACCAGGACTAAACCAGAACTAAACCAGGACCAGGACCAGGACTTGGACCAGACCAGAACTAAACCAGGACTAAACCAGGACTAAACCAGGACCAGGACCAGGACCGGGACCAGGACCAGAACTAAACCAGGACTAAACCAGAACTAAACCAGAACTAAACCAGGACTAAACCAGGACTAAACCAGAACTAAACCAGGACCAGGACCAGGACTTGGACCAGACCAGAACTAAACCAGGACTAAACCAGGACTAAACCAGGACTAAACCAGGACCAGGACCAGGACCAGGACTTGGACCAGACCAGAACTAAACCAGGACTAAACCAGGACTAAACCAGGACTAAACCAGAACTAAACCAGGACCAGGACCAGGACCAGGACTTGGACCAGACCAGAACTAAACCAGGACTAAACCAGGACTAAACCAGAACTAAACCAGGACTAAACCAGAACTAAACCAGGACAGGACTAAACCAGGACCAGACCAGAACTAAACCAGGACTAAACCAGAACTAAACCAGAACTAAACCAGGACCAGACCAGAACTAAACCAGGACTAAACCAGAACTAAACCAGGACTAAACCAGGACTAAACCAGAACTGAACCAGGACTAAACCAGGACTAAACCAGGACTAAACCAGAACTAAACCAGGACCAGACCAGAACTAAACCAGGACTAAACCAGAACTAAACCAGAACTAAACCAGGACTAAACCAGGTCTAAACCAGGACCGGGACTAAACCAGGACCAGACCAGAACTAAACCAGAACTAAACCAGGACTAAACCAGGACTAAACCAGAACTAAACCAGGACCAGACCAGAACTAAACCAGGACTAAACCAGGACTAAACCAGAACTAAACCAGGACTAAACCAGAACTAAACCAGGACTAAACCAGGACCAGACCAGAACTAAACCAGGACTAAACCAGGACTAAACCAGAACTAAACCAGGACTAAACCAGGACCAGACCAGAACTAAACCAGGACTAAACCAGGACTAAACCAGAACTAAACCAGGACTAAACCAGAACTAAACCAGGACTAAACCAGGACTAAACCAAACCAGGACTAAACCAGACCAGAACTAAACCAGGACTAAACCAGAACTAAACCAGAACTAAACCAGGACTAAACCAGGACCAGACCAGAACTAAACCAGGTCTAAACCAGGACCAGGACCAGACCAGAACTAAACCAGGACTAAACCAGAACTAAACCAGAACTAAACCAGGACCAGACCAGAACTAAACCAGGACTAAACCAGAACTAAACCAGAACTAAACCAGGACTAAACCAGGACCAGACCAGAACTAAACCAGGACTAAACCAGAACTAAACCAGGACTAAACCAGAACTAAACCAGGACCAGACCAGAACTAAACCAGGACTAAACCAGGACTAAACCAGAACTAAACCAGGACTAAACCAAAACCAGAACTAAACCAGACTAAACCAGACTAAACCAGAACTAAACCAGGACTAAACTAAACAGGACTAAACCAGGACTAAACCAGAACTAAACCAGGACCAGACCAGAACTAAACCAGGACTAAACCAGAACTAAACCAGGACCAGACCCAGTTTGGACTCACATAAGGAAATAAAGTTGAGAAAGAGACAAAATGAAAAGATGAGTTGCTTTATTTTGGATAAACCAGATATGGTCCTTACAGTTACACAGATATTATATTATTATTATATTATCGTGATATTATGTTATTAGTAGATTATTAGATAGTATTTTATGTTATTATATTATATTATGATATTATATTGTATTATTATGTTTTATATTATTATATTATTATATTCCAAATATTTTGTACTTCACTGCTCATTAAAAACTCGAGGCTCTTATTGTCATGTTGAGATGTTACGTTCATTTCACTGAACTTTTGAGCTTTGATTCCCGTGACTCTAGTCCGACTCCAGTCCAGTGGCTCCACTCCGGGCTCCCGTGGCTCCGCTCCACTCGCTGACTCCAGTCCGGAATTCGCGGGCTGCCGGCGGCGGTGGCTAATGCTAAGGCTAGTTCAAAACTGCCCCGCTAACCGTTCCCGTTTTCCTCACGGTTTTCCCGTTTCAGCGCGGATCCGTGAATGCCCGTGACGGTCCCCGCGTGTGGGCCGCTTCTCCCCCGCTCCAGCCCCGCACCAGCACCGCCCCGCTCCCCGCAGAGCCGCGTTTAGCCCGCACGGCTCCGGAGAACCGCGCAGCTCGACCCGCCGCACTCAGCTCATCCAAAATGGCGGACACGGAGGATGACAGCGGTTCGACCAGAACAATACCAGCCACCGAACCGCTCCAGAACCCGGCCGAACCCAGCGCCGGGCCCGGGAAAGACGCTCCGGCAGCGGACCCGGCCCCCGAGCCCGAGGACAGAGCTCCGACCACCCGAGAGAGCGCAGAACCCGGCCACGGCGGCACCGCGGAGGAACCGCCAGCTCAGCCCGCTCCGCAGAGCTCCGAGCCCGGGGACGGTTCGGAGGCAGTGGCCGCTGTGCCCGACGCTCAGCCCGGAGAGAGCTTCCAGGTGCGAACCGCCCCCGCGAAAGGGGCGCACACCCGGTCCGACGGAACCGATTTATCCGAATAATGTTCCACCAACGAGGCGCTGCTCCGTTTGTTTTGGTCCCGTTTAGTCCGTTTGTTTTGGTCCCGTTTAGTCCGTTTGTTTTGGTCCCGTTTAGTCCGTTTGTTTTGGTCCCGTTTAGTCCGTTTGTTTTGGTCCCGTTTGTGACGTTAGTGACTTTAGTGAGCTCAGGATGAACGGACCTACAAGGATTTCATTTCTTTTTTGTCGCGGTTCCGCCGCCACATCAGGACCATAAACCCGCCCGGTCCGGACCCTAAACCCGCCCGGTCCGGACCCTAAACTTTGTGCCTGTTGGGTTCTAGTTCTAACTTTAACTGTAACTTTGTGCCTGTATCTCGGGCCAGATCCGTTAAACCACATTGTAGATATTGGTGTTATCTCCTGCTCCTGTCTGCTCCTGACTGCTCCTGTCTGCTCCTGTCTGCTCCTGTCTGCTCCTGTCTGCTCCTGACTGCTCCTCTGCTCCTGTCTGCTCCTGACTGCTCCTGTCTGCTCCTGACTGCTCCTGTCTGCTCCTGTCTGCTCCTGCAGGTGCTGTCGGTTCCAGATCAGACCCTCCAGTCCGCGGATCAGAACCAGACCATCACAGTGCTGGACTCTGGGGAGCTGCTCCTGGGGTCGGAGTTCGCCAACACCACCATCCTGTACGTCCAATCAGACGGCAGCCTGGTGGAGGGGGCGGGGCTGACGGCGGAGGAGCAGCGACTCATCCTGGAACAGCTCTCCAAGCAGACCGTGGTACAGGTACACGCCGCACCTGACGCACCTGACGCACGGGGAGGGCACCTGACGCACGGGAGGGCACCTGACGCACCGGGAGGGCACCTGACGCACGGGGAGGGCACCTGACGCACGGGGAGGGCATCAGGGTTAGGGTCTCTCTGGTTGTTGGGTTAATTAATAAAGCAGTTCTTCAGGTTACAGGACAAAACTGTGACTCTACTTTTGGTTCAGTGGAACATGGAACTGTTCTCCTGGATCTGAGGTCTTTTAGCTGAAATACTGTTCTGAGCCCTGGAACGTGGAGTCTGTTCTTCTGTGGAGTCTGTTCTTCTGTGGAGTTTGTTCTTCTGTTCTTCTGTGGAGTTTGTTCTTCTGTTCTTCTGTGGAGTTTGTTCTTCTGTTCTTCTGTGGAGTCTGTTCTTCTGTGGAGTCTGTTCTTCTGTGGAGTCTGTTCTTCTGTGGAGTTTGTTCTTCTGTGGAGTCTGTTCTTCTGTGGAGTTTGTTCTTCTGTGGAGTCTGTTCTTCTGTGGAGTTCTTCTGTGGAGTCTGTTCTTCTGTGGAGTCTGTTCTTCTGTGGAGTCTGTTCTTCTGTGGAGTCTGTTCTTCTGTGGAGTCTGTTCTTCTGTGGAGTCTGTTCTTCTGTGGAGTTTGTTCTTCTGTTCTTCTGTGGAGTCTGTTCTTCTGTGGAGTTTGTTCTTCTGTGGAGTCTGTTCTTCTGTGGAGTCTGTTCTTCTGTGGAGTCTGTTCTTCTGTGGAGTCTGTTCTTCTGTGGAGTCTGTTCTTCTGTGGAGTCTGTTCTTCTTGTTCTCGTCATGGGGCAGTGTCAGTTTCTCTTGTATTTTTTCTTCTATTGTCTGTGGTTAAACCTCAGGCTTCTGGTGTCCTGGAGACTCAGATCTCTGCAGATGTTCCTCACGCTCGTCTCTTCTCCTCAGGTCTCAGATCAGGAGGCTGCAGCTTTACTCCAGGGAGCTGTGGTCCAGAGCCCGGTCCAGACCGAGACCAGGTCCAGACCCAGGTCCAGACCCAGGTCCAGACCCAGGTCCAGACCCAAGTCTTAACCACAGCCACCACGGGACCGCCTCAGGTGAGGGTGTGACAGGTGAGGGTGTGACAGGTGAGGGTGTGACAGGTGAGGGTGTGACAGGTGAGGGTGTGACAGGTGAGGGTGACGGTGTGAGAAGGGTTCCTCAGGGGTTCTCAAGACTCCACCTGGAGGCTCTCCTGAGTGTTCTGATCCTGTTTGTCCTCCAGGTCCAAAACCAAGTCCAGACCCAGAGCTCTGTACTGGACCCGGGTCAACTGCAGCAGGTCCTCAGCCAGGTACAGAAAAGTCCAGTCTTTACTGCGTCTGCCTAAAGGACGTTCTGTGATACCCTCAAACTAACGGAACCTCCTCTGCTCCTCCTCTGCTCCTCCTCTGTTCCTCCTCTGTTCCTCCTCTGTTCCTCCTCTGCTCCTCCTCTGTTCCTCCTCTGCTCCTCCTCTGCTCCTCCTCTGTTCCTCCTCTGTCCTCCTTCCTCTCTGCTCCTCCTCTCCTCTGCTCTCCTCTGCTCCTCCTCTGCCCTCCTCTGCTCCTCCTCTGCACCTCCTCTACTCCTCCTCTGTTCCTCCTCTGCTCCTCCTCTGCTCCTCTCTGCTCCTCCTTCTGTTCCTCCTCTGCTCCTCTGTCCTCCTCTGTCCTCCCTCCTCTCTTCCTCCTCTCTTCCTCCTCTCTTCCTCCTCTGTTCCTCCTCTGTTCCTCCTCTCTTCCTCCTCTCTTCCTCCTCTCTTCCTCCTCTCTCCTCCTCTGTTCCTCCTCTGTTCCTCCTCTGCTCCTCCTCTGCTCCTCCTCTGCTCCTCCTCTGTTCCTCCTCTGTTCCTCCTCTACTCATCGTCTGTTCCTCCTCTGCTCCTCCTCCTCTGCTCCTCCTCTGTTCCTCCTCTGCTCCTCCTCTGCTCCTCCTCCTCTGCTCCTCCTCTGTTCCTCCTCTGCTCCTCCTGTTCCTCCTCTACTCATCCTCTGTTCCTCCTCTACTCATCCTCTGTTCCTCCTCTGCTCCTCCTCTGTTCCTCCTCTGCTCCTCCTCTGTTCCTCCTCTGTTCCTCCTCTGCTCCTCCTCTGTTCCTCCTCTGCTCATCCTCTGTTCCTCCTCTGTTCCTCCTCTACTCCTCCTCTGTTCCTCCTCTGCTCATCCTCTGTTCCTCCTCTGTTCCTCCTCTGTTCCTTCTCTACTCATCCTCTGCTCTTCCTCTGCTCCTCCTCTGTTCCTCCTCTGTTCCTCCTCTGTTCCTCCTCTGCCTCTTCCTCCTCTGCTCCTCCTCTGTTCCTCCTCTGCTCCTCCTCTGTTCCTCCTCTGCTCCTCCTCTGCTCCTCCTCTGCTCCTCCTCTGTTCCTCCTCTGCTCATCCTCTGTTCCTCCTCTACTCCTCCTCTGTCCTCCTCCTCCTCCTCCTCCTCTCCTCTGTCCTCCTCCTCTGCTCCTCCTCTGTTCCTCCTCTGCTCCTCCTCTGCTCCTCCTCTGTTCCTCCTCTGTTCCTCCTCTGCTCCTCCTCTGTTCCTCCTCTACTCATCCTCTGTTCCTCCTCTGTTCCTCCTCTGTTCCTCCTCTACTCATCCTCTGTTCCTCCTCTACTCATCCTCTGCTCCTCCTCTGGTCTTCAGGTGTCCAAGGCCCAGGTCCAGTCGGGTCCGGTTCAGATCCAGGTGGTTTCTCAGAGTGGACTGAGCGGAGCGTCACAGCAGCTGAAGACTGTGGCTCAGCATGTGGCCAAACAAACCCCCAAACCCGCCCTGCTTCAGACCCAGACTAAACCAGGACTAACCCAGACTAAACCAGTACTCACCCAGGTCAGACCAGTACTCACCCAGACTAAACCCGGTCTAACTCAGACCAAACAGGTCCAGATCCAGACCATCAGCCCCAAACCTGCAGTCACCAAAACTCTGAGCCCCCAGAGTGTCCTCCAGAAGAGCAGTCCAGTCACTCAGGTCACTCAGGTCACTCCAGTCACTCCAGTCACGCCAGTGCAGCTGCTGCAGAAGAAGGTGAGAAAGAGGCTGACACGGTGGGTCCTAATTAGAGCCCGACCGATATGGATTTTGCTGTGGCCGATATGAAACCGATATAATGGAAGTTGGAGCTGCGATATCCCATATAATCACCGATATATTTAGTGATGTGAAAATTCACTGTAAATGTTGAATTGTTTAAAAAACTTCGGTTTGGCTCTGGTGGATTTTAAATTGGGTTTATTTAGGAAACATTTATTGTTCTTCTGCCTCTTTACATCATATTTACAGACAGTAGTTTGACTTAATGGCATTTTTGCATCACATTCTAGACACTAGTGATGGGGATTCCAGTTCTTTTTAGAGAACCGGCTCTTTTGGCTCGGCTCACTAAAAGCTGCTGGTTCTTTTGGCTCCCAAGTGGCTCTTCAGATTGTTTTGTTGCAAGCAGGACTGAATCAGGACTGAACCAGGTCTGAAAAAGGACTAAACCGGGACTTATTTATTTTATGCTAAACTACAGTCAAATATGCTTTTTTTTTTTTTTTTTTTTTTTTTTAATCCTACGTACGCAAATTTCTCAAAGTTTCGTTTTCAGCCGCTGTCAAACTACCACGAGTCTGCACGCGGCGTGAAGAGAAAAAAAGTGAGAGAAAGAGAAAACACGGCTCCCAATAAGGATCAGGCTCCCGTCGTTCGCTTCAAAGAGCCGGTTCTAAGAGTCATTTCGTTGGCGACGGACCCATAACTAGTAAAGAAAGTAGCGCTATTAGCCTTTAGCCGTAAATACGTGCGCGCCGCGGTAATTAATTATATGCGCAAATGTCATAATTCACACGTCTGTTCACAGCTCATTTACATATCAATACTGGTCCAGGAGCAAATATACGAACAATATAGTCACTTTAGAAAAGACCAATAGAAAACAGTGTGTTTATGTGCGGAGCTACAGCAGCTAACCCATAACAAATGACCAAAACTAGCTTCAGAGTCGACATATTTCCAACACTCACCGCTCACACAGGCTCCTCCCACATCACACAGGCTCCTCCCACATCACACAGGCTCCTCCCACATCACAAATCTGCACTAATAAATGTCCTTTTAATCCAGACTCAAACCGATTGTCCGTAAAAAGAAAATAATCTCAGTGTTTGGATCTGTGTCTGCAGGTGTAAACAAACACACGTGAGTGAAGTGACGTCACTCTGTGGTGTGTTCAGCGACAGTACGGACACACACACACACACACACAAATGACTCCGTAGATAAATAGTGATGTGGAGCCACATATGAGGACATTTATCTGTCTGTAAATTGGATTAAATGAACAGAATGTAGAGAGTCTAAGCTTTATAACGAGGTGTAACATGCCCACGTGAAATATCGGCCCCATATCAGCAAGTATATCGGCCGATAGCCAATATGCCTAAAGTTGCCCATATCAGCCGATAATACCGGCCAACCGATATATCGGTCGGGCTCTAGTCCTAATGACCAGACTGACTACTAATGACTAGACTGACTACTAATGACCAGACTGACTACTAATGACCAGACTGACTACTAATGACCACACTGCTCCCTCGTGACTCGACTGCCCCCTCGTGACTCGACTGACCCCTCGTGACTCAACTGCCCCCTCGTGACTCGACTGACCCCTCGTGACTCGACTGCCCTCTCGTGACTCGACTGCCTTGTGTGTGTGCGTGGGTGAGTCCAGGGCCGTTGGTTCAGAGTTTCTGTAGATCTGGAGTCAGACTCAAATTGACCGAGGCCAAACTAAATATTGATTGAAAAATGTCAACAACTTCTTCATGTTTTCTCTTTTCTTTGGAGTAAAGTGTAAAGTTAAACCTTTTCTTATTCAAATAAATGATAAATCATAGTTTTGCTTAAACATTGTTCTGGATTCAAACAAAATATAAAATAGTCGATCTGTGCGACAACGGCGACTCTGATACATGTTTGATCTGATCTCACGGGACAAATATCATTATAACACAGGCCAAATTTGGCCCCTGGGCCTGAGTTGAATATGTCTGCTATAGATCTTGTGTAGGTCTTGTGTAGGTCTGTAGGTGTAGGTCTTGTGTAGGTCTTGTGTTGGTCTTGTGTTGGTCTTGCGTAGGTCTTGCGTTGGTCTTGCGTAGGTCTTGTGTTGGTCTTGCGTAGGTCTTGCGTTGGTCTTGCGTTGGTCTTGTTGGTCTTGCGTAGGTCTTGTGTAGGTCTTGCGTTGTTTTGGTGTTGGTCTTGCGTAGGTCTTGTGTAGGTCTTGCGTTGTCTTGTGTAGGTGTGTGGTCTTGCGTAGGTCTTGCGTTGGTCTTGCGTTGGTCTTGCGTTGGTCTTGCGTTGGTCTTGGTGTTGGTCTTGCGTAGGTCTTGTGTAGGTCTTGCGTTGGTCTTGTGTTGGTGTTGGTCTTGCGTAGGTCTTGCGTTGGTCTTGCGTTGGTCTTGTGTAGGTCTTGCGTTGGTCTTGGTGTTGGTCTTGCGTAGGTCTTGTGTAGGTCTTGCGTAGGTCTTGGTGTTGGTCTTGCGTAGGTCTTGCGTAGGTCTTGCGTAGGTCTTGCGTTGGTCTTGTGTTGGTCTTGCGTTGGTCTTGTGTTGGTCTTGCGTTGGTCTTGCGTAGGTCTTGCGTAGGTCTTGCGTAGGTCTTGCGTTGGTCTTGCGTTGGTCTTGCGTAGGTCTTGCGTTGGTCTTGCGTTGGTCTTGCGTTGGTCTTGTGTAGGTCTTGTGTTGGTCTTGTGTTGGTCTTGTGTTGGTCTTGTGTTGGTCTTGCGTAGGTCTTGCGTAGGTCTTGTGTTGGTCTTGTGTTGGTCTTGTGTTGGTCTTGCGTTGGTCTTGTGTTGGTCTTGTGTTGGTCTCTTGTGTTGGTCTTGTGTTGGTCTTGCGTAGGTCTTGCGTAGGTCTTGTGTTGGTCTTGTGTTGGTCTTGTGTTGGTCTTGCGTTGGTCTTGTGTTGGTCTTGTGTTGGTCTTGCGTTGGTCTTGCGTTGGTCTTGCGTTGTCTTGGTTGGTCTTGTTGGTCTCTTGTGTTGGTCTTGTGTTGGTCTTGCGTAGGTCTTGCGTAGGTCTTGTCGTTGGTCTTGTGTTGGTCTTGTGTTGGTCTTGCGTAGGTCTTGTGTTGGTCTTGTGTTGGTCTTGTGTTGGTCTTGCGTAGGTCTTGTGTTGGTCTTGCGTTGGTCTTGCGTTGGTCTTGCGTTGGTCTTGTGTTGGTCTTGTGTTGGTCTTGTGTTGGTCTTTGTTGGTCTTGCGTAGGTCTTGTGTTGGTCTTGCGTAGGTCTTGTGTTGGTCTTGTGTTGGTCTTGTGTTGGTCTTGCGTAGGTCTTGCGTAGGTCTTGCGTAGGTCTTGTGTTGGTCTTGTGTTGGTCTTGTGTTGGTCTTGCGTTGGTCTTGCGTAGGTCTTGCGTAGGTCTTGCGTAGGTCTTGCGTTGGTCTTGTGTTGGTCTCTTGTTGGTCTCTTGTGTTGGTCTTGCGTTGGTCTTGTGTTGGTCTCTTGTTGGTCTCTTGTGTTGGTCTTGCGTAGGTCTTGTGTTGGTCTTGTGTTGGTCTTGTGTTGGTCTTGTGTTGGTCTTGTGTTGGTCTTGTGTTGGTCTTGCGTAGGTCTTGCGTAGGTCTTGTGTTGGTCTTGCGTTGGTCTTGTGTTGGTCTTGCGTTGGTCTTGCGTGGTCTTGTTGTTGTCTTGTTGGTCTTGCGTTGGTCTTGTGTTTGTCTTGTGTTGTCTTGTTGGTCTTGCGTAGGTCTTGTGTTGGTCTTGTTGGTCTTGTTGGTCTTGCGTAGGTCTTGCGTTGGTCTTGCGTTGGTCTTGTGTTGGTCTTGTGTTGGTCTTGCGTAGGTCTTGTTTCGATCTTCTGTGTGAGGAGCTCCCTCTAACTCTCTTTTCTGTCGCAGCCGGAGCCGGTCCGGATCCAGATCCAGGTCCCGTCCAAAGGGGACCCGTCTGCGCAGGCGTCCAGGCCGCAGCTGCTCACGCTGCAGTCGGTGGTGGGGCAGTCGGTGGTGGGGGGCCAGTCAGGTCCCATCTTCCTCCAGCAGAGTCCCATGGAGCCTCTGCAGCTTCTGGTCCCCGTGGTCTCCCCCAAAACCTCGTCCCCCATCAGAGTCCAGGTCCAAACCCCTCCCAGACCCACCATCAAGGTCCAGAGTCCCGCTCGGACCACCATCACCACCATCACCCCTGCGACCGGCACCACCATCACCGCCAAGACCGCGCCCAAACCCCTGACGGGCCCCGCCCCCCTGGTCAGGGTCCAGGCGCCCGTAAAGACCGCCCCCTCCCTCAGCTCGTCAAACGCCGCC